TTTTTTTTTTTTTTTTTTGAGGCAGGGCCTCGAACTCACTATGTAGCCCTGGCTGGCCTAGAACTCGAGGAGATTCTCCTGCCTTGGCTTCCTGAGTGCTGGGATCACAGGTGTACACCACTGTGCCTGGTGAGCGTACTATTTTTGAAAAAGACTAGAGAAGGATGTGTTTGCTTATGAGAAATTTGGGCATGGAAACAAGAGTCTGGTCAGGGCGGTGGCTGGGGCGATGAGAGGTGTACCATGGCTAGGGAGCAGTGGGGAGGGTTTTCATTGGCTATTCGCTTGAACATTAGATTAATAAATATATGTAAATGCACTTATTTTTAATTTTTTTGTAAATGTACTTAAAAAGCCTTAAGTGGACTGTTTCACAAGGTTCATTTGTGATGCAAACAGTCACTCCCTAAATTGCTTTGATAATGGTTGACATTTGTGTACTGAATTTTCTTTCTTTCTTTCTTTTTATACTGGATTTTCTTAAAGTATGAAATACCTGACTCTCCAAGCCACACCTTCAGTGCTTACACCAGAAGTCACTGAGGTAAGCACCAAACAAGCCGAACCAACCAGCCACTGTACAGAGGGCAGAGCAAGCATTAGGGGGCTGGATGATTCCTTGGCATCTGAGAAGGCCAGAGAGGCCTTGTGAAGGGTTGGTACACTCTACCTTCCTTACTGCTTTCCTCTTTCTTTCTTTCTTCTTCTTCTTTTTTTTTTTAGAGAAGTTCTCCCCATGTAGTCCAGGCTGGCCTCAAACTCTTGGCAATCCTCCTGCCTCAGCCTCCCCATAACTACACCCCCTAACTCCCATTGTTCCGCAGTCCTGCTCCTGACAGCCAACCACTAGTCCCTGAGTGTTCTCCAGCCTGGTCCCTGGCAGATAGCTGAAACTCCTTTTCCCTGTACTGTCTCCCTGAAAGGCTGTTCTTTTCCCAGCCTCCCCCTTTTCTTCCCCCTCATGACCCTATCAGAGACCTGACAGCCTGTGAGAGTGGCTGTACAGGATGTCTGTCCCCCTCCGGTTTGTTCTGAAGTCAACCTGCCCTGTTGCACTCATATCTTTGCTTTCTCCTCTCCTAACAAAGACATCTCCTGAGCATAAGCCGTCCTGCCTTGTGGGGGAGTATAACTGTGCAAGGCCTCTGCCAACAGGTGCCCAAAACAAACATGCTATTTTCTCTCAAGGATTTTTTTTTTTTTTTTTTTTTTGTACCAGGTATCGAACTTGGGACCTTGTGCTTGTGAGGCAGGTAGCAGAACCACTGACTTAAATAGCAGCCCTTTGTCTCGGGGAAACAGTAGAAATCCTTGGAAAGTTGGAAATCATATTACAGATTCTATCATCTCATTGTATCATCATTAAAAAAAATGGTGGCACTGGAAATTGAACTCGGGCTTCACACTGAGCTACATCCCAGCCCTTTTTACTTTTATTTTGAGACGAGTTCTCACAGAGGTGCAGGACTCAAATTTGAGATCCTCCTGCCTCAGCCTCCCAGAGTACTGGGATTACAAGCATGCACCACCATGCCCAGCTCATCTTTACTTCTTGCTGTTTTCCAAAACAATAAATGCAGGGCTGGGGATGTAGCTCAGTGGGGCTGTGTCTGCCTGGCAAGTGCAAGGTCCTGAGTTCCATTACTGGTACTTGGGTAAAAAAAAATCCATTACCAAAACAACAGACGCTCCCCAGAGAGGTGCCTGTCGTCGTGCTGGCTCCTGCCTGCTCCCTGAGCCCTGGAGATGACCTGTAGGTCCACAGCCAAGAGTAAGAGCTCTGCAGAGACCAATCCAGTCCAGCCAGGTGGTTGCTCAAAGCTGGCCCAAGTTCTCAGGTGCCTCAGGTCCGTCTGCTCCAAGTGCTCAATCCTAGGGGCTCTCAAGATATGCCTCACAAGCCTGTGGAAGGGACAGAGCCTGCCGTGGGTGCACTTAGAGTGGAAGTGAGAGAGCCCACGAGTTGGGTCTCCCGCTAGAGCCCTCCAGGACCGATTCTAGTAAAATTTCCTTAGCCTGCAAGAGAAGCATTCAGGAAGCTCTGCACAGCAGAGCAGAAGATAGAAGGGGGTCCTGGAAGCACAGGCAAGAGGGCTGGGAAGGGCGCCACATGGGGCCCCCTCGTCTGTGTGCCCAGGCCCTTGCTGGTATGCGTACCCACACCCTCTCCAGGCACACTTTCCATGCTGAGGGCCCAGAGGGAAGCAGTTGCAAGACACTGGCGTTCAGAGCCAGGCTTGTTGGTGCATGCCTCTCACCCCAGCACTCGGAAGGCTGAGGCAGGAGAATTGCCAAGAGTTTAAGGGCAGTCTGGGCTACCTAGCAAGACCCTGTCTCAAAAAACCAAAACTGACATTGGTTTTCTTGCCCACCTGGGCCACCAGTATTGTAGACAGCCGAGTTCATTAGAAATACAGGCAGTCAGGCAGGGCTGGACCCTCCAGTCAGCACAGAGAACACCTGTTCTCATGAAGGCCGGCCTTCAGACAAAGAACTGACTGCATCCACGTACTTCCCCATGCACAGCCGTGATGGATGCTCTGGGTCTTTTTAAGGCAGTAAAGACAGACTTCATTCAGTACCATTGCAACAGGGGCAAGAGTTAATAAAACTGAGCTTGATTCCGAATTCAACACAAATGGGTATAACTGAGACTCTACCACTAACAAGCAGTGCAGCAGGTCAGTGGATGGGGAACTCTAAGCACACAGCTGAAGGGTAAGAGGACTTTTGGTAAATTGGCCTAACAGAATTCTTGATAAAGGTATGTGGAGGATTTGGGCATTGAGCGATTAATACTCTAAATAGGCGTCAGTCGACTGGGTGTGGGGACCAAGAGCTTCACTCCTCGCTTCCAGGGAAAGTCACACATACAGAGGTTTGGAAAATGGCTAGAGTGGAGCATTCACTCCGGAATCTGGAGATTTAGATACTGTGCTCGCAGGCCGGGGTTGTAGCTCAGTGGCTCTGCGCCTGCCTGGCAAGCACAAGGTCCTGAGTTCAACACCTGGTGTCAAAAATAAATAAGTACAGCTCTTGCTGCCCGGCCCAGTGCCAGCTGGGCGCTGCCTAGGATTGGGGGCGGGGCAGAGAGCATGTGTCTGTAGGAAGTGACACTGAATCTTTTGCCTGTCGCCCGATGTGGCCACTTGTCCTTGGCACTGCTACTCTGTTTTCCTTGCCTGGAGTTGGGACTGCCCCTGGTTAGGGTTTTGAGAGGTCAAAGTTTATGAACCAAAGGTCAAGATGTGAGCTAGAGGTCAGGATTCAGGACCTGGAGAGACGGTGGTAACAGGCACAGCAGCAGGTTGAGGGTCTGCTGTAGATCACAGGCCTCCCCAACAGGCAGAGTGGCAGCTTCAAAACCTGGGGCAGGGGTGAATCTTGGGCCAGCGAATGGAATGAAAGATGGAACCGGCAAGATGTTAACTTGTTTTGAACGAGCGGGCTTTAAACCTAGATAAACAATTTGGCCACGAGGGGGCGCTCCAAGCCAGCAGCCCCCGATCTGCTTTGACCAAGAGGTCTTGGCGCGTCGCGCTCTAGCTCCAGGACGACGCCTAAAGGTGGAGCACTCGCACTTTTGCACTTCCGCGGGCCCACCTACCTCGAGACGACCACGCTCTGAGAAGGCTGCGCCGGCCTCAGAGGAGAACCGCGGCTGAGCAGCCCTGAGCCGCTCCCGCCCTCCCTGAAGGTGCAGAGCGCGGAGGGGAGCTGAGCTCCACCAACCCTGTCTAGTTGCCAAGCTGCGAGCGAATCTGGAAGTGGTGATTACCTTCAGCCAGGAAGTTTTGGGGCCGTTCGCCATTCAACTGGAGAGGACCCCAAAGGCCGGTGCCCTCACTTTCCTGCTTCAGCCAGCTTGAGGTGGGCACTTGTGATCTTCAGGAAACAGTTGCACGTGATGGAACTGCTCACGGTGACAGGGGTCAGGGAACGAGCTCTGCTGTCTGCCACAGCCCTGGGTGCTTTCTCGCCCACGTTTTGGGTATCTACAAATGTGCCCGTGGCTGGGTCTGGCACTGAGAAAGTAAAGATACACACAGCACGTTATGGCCTGTGTCTGGATGTCCCCCCAGACCTCATGCAGTTGTGGGGCTTTTTCGGAGGCGGCTGGACTAGGGTGTGCAATGCTGGGATTAAGGCTGCTGCACCCTGGGCGTGACGGCTCCAAATGGCTCTGTTGGCATTTCCCTGCCAGGTGGCACTGTTACCACACGATTTTCTGCTTTTCGTGTGCGACTCCGCCCAGACAGAAAGAAGGCTGCTGCCTTTGCGTGCTGCTTGCTGTTTCACTGCTGGCTGCCTTCTGCCCGCCCTGTTTGCCATGGACGTCTCTCCTCTGCCATGCCCCTCTCTTGCAGCCTTGCCTTAGAAGCTGCCGATTATGAACCTTTACCAACTGTGAGCTGAAATAAACCTTTCCTCTAACTTTAGGTTGCTGGTATTTTGTCTCAGCGAGGAAAAAAGTAACCAAGCATAGATCCTACTCCCAGGAAGTGCAGAGTTACAATCACAGGAGCCTGGGTAAGACAGCCACCGGGGACTGAACTCGGGTCCTTGCACTTGTAAGGCAGGCCACCGAACCGCTGAGCTAAATCCCCGGTGACCACCTTGGCTTTAAAGATGAGGGGGCTGGGGGCGCTCACCCCAGGGCAGGCCGCTGGGCTCCTTCCCTCCCTGCCCCGGGACACAGGCACACCCACTCTGTGTGACCGCGCAGTCAGCGCACGGAGCCCGGGTCCCGAAAGGTCCTTCCACGTTCGCTGCCGCATCACTGCCACCTCCATTTCACAGATTTCCCAAACTGACGGTCAACGCTGTCTATTTGGTGTTTTTCAAGTTCTCGCAGAGCTCTGGGCAGCAGTGGTCTCAGCTTCAGTCTTCTGGCCCAGAACTGGGGATCCTGTCACAGCACACCCCCTCCCTCGGCCCTAGGTGACAGCTGGATGCCACTGCAGGGCAGAGGGCACAGAGAGACCAGAAGACAGCCCGAGCTGGGAGGGAAGCGTTGCACAGGCAGAGGACGGAGCCACAGGACCCCGAGAGCCGAGAGGTGGCTGAGAAGGCCACTGCAGAGTCCTCTGTGGATGCAAGGGCCTGCGGCTTCTCCAGGGCCAACCCATCGGGGCGGGAGTGTCCGAGACCACTGTCCATTGTGGGCGGGGCAGAGAGGGGGCCCGGCCCAGATGAGAGGGAAGGGGAGGGGTGGTCAGAAGAGCTCGGTGGGGACACAGCTGTCCTGGCCCAGGGCAGGGGCCCAGTCCCCGGTCTAAAGGAGGGGGAGGTGACAGTTACAGGGACTGGGCTCCACCTGGATTGTCCTTGTGGGCTTCTACCTGGCGAAGCCAGCAGGCAAGTAGGACCCACGATGGAGTCTCAGTCATGTCCAGGATGGGGCCTTTTTCCTGTCTGCCTTAAAGAGCTGGCTCCCCTGCAGGAGGCAAAGATTCCTCTCTCCTCCCCACCAGGTGCATTGGGAAATTGGGAACATGGGAGGCTTCAGGATGCTGCCCCACTCAGGGAACCTGCTTGTCCCCTTCAGGTTCAGGATGGGGCTCTATTGGGGGAGTGTTCAGAAAACATTAAGGGCTCTTGATTGGCCCGAGCCGGCCAGGGAGGGGGAGTCAGGGGCACAGGACTCAGGGCACTTCGCCTTTTGATCCTGAGGTGGCATGAACAGGAAAGCCCTCCATGGACAGGAAGAACTGCACACAGGGATGAGGGAACTAGTGTCACTTACCAATATGGTGGCTGGGTCTTATGTTCTTCCCATGAGTTATTTCCCACCCATCCTTGTGACAGGGATTCCATCATCCCTTTCACAGCTGAGAAGCCCGGGACACTCAGGAGGTTAAGCAGCTGCTGCAGGTCACACAGCAGGTCAGGGGAGGGCAGGCGGTCATTCAATAACTGGAGCAGCTCCTGAGTTACTAAGGACTCTCTGGTGACATGCAGATTTCAGAGTAGTTTCTGGAAGGCATCATGTGAACTATGATATTAAAAGACAGACACCCTGGAGGAAAGCATTGAGCAATTGTCAGGGCCCTCTCTGTGCCTGTCCTAGTGTCTCCTAAGGTGAGAAATCAAAGGCTGCTCTTCAGGTCTGTAGAATTTGCCCTGACACACTGTGCACTGACTAATTCCCAGGCCTCAGTTGGTTTCTGTTTGTTTCTGAAGTGGGGAGGCTGGATGGAAGGGATGAGTAAGACAGTGGCCTCTGAGGCAGAACAGCAGCACAGAGAAGAAATCCCCTCACCAGCCAGGACAGGGGCACTGTATGCTACCTCCCTCCAGAGTGTGGAGGCTTTTTCCTGGTTATAGAATCTGTCAATGTAAAATGGCTGATACCCACCTCTCTCTCAAGGATTATTGTGTTGTAAATTATAGGGCTCTACAGAGTCACACAAATAAGTTCCAGCTCACGATTAATGTGAGGGATTGATGAGTAACAGTGTTATCAATTGCAGGACATTGCTGATTATATGAGTATTACTCCCAGCCTCTCAAGGCTGCGAAAGATCAGAAGTGTCCATATTCACCCTCCTCTGCTCACAGGTGATTTCCCACTCTTCAGGACAGGCTCGAGACTCCTCCGGAAGAGACGCAGAGGGTCTCATGCCCTGTGTCCCGAGGAGCTCAGAGCGCCGAGACACTGGCACCAGATCTGCACGTCGAGCTGGGAGGGAAGCGTTGCACAGGCAGAGGACGGAGCCACAGGACCCCGAGAGCCGAGAGGGGGCTGAGAAGGCCACTGCAGAGTCCTCTGTGGATGCAAGGGCCTGCAGCTTCTCCAGGGCCAACCCATCGGGGCGGGAGTGTCCGAGACCACTGTCCATTGTGGGCGAGGCAGAGAGGGGGCCCGGCCCAGATGAGGTTTTTCCCGACTGCAGACTCCTCTGGAAGAGACGCAGAGGGTCTCATGCCCTGTGTCCCGAGGAGCTCAGAGCGCCGAGACACTGGCTCCAGATCTGCATGGCTCCCATTCCTGCTCAAGACCCCAGGGCCTGGGAGAAATCACCTCCCAGACTCCTCACGGCCATCACCGGAGCAGAAGGCGCAGGTGACCAGGGACCCAGCTGAGTCGTCATAGGATGTCCTTGCTCCGCCACCTCAGCCCTGGTGTCGATGGCCGGGAGGGGACGCTGGGCCCCTCTGAGGCCGGGAAGTGGATGTTTCGTGCTCTGCTCCGGCTTTCACTGCCCGCCCCTGCAGGTGAACAGCGACACCTCCACCCTCCCGCCCGCAGTCGGTTCCTCAGCCTCCCTGCGCCCTCATTAGAGACCAGAAGAGCAAAGGTATAGAAATACAAACTCATAAAACTCCAGGACCTCACCACGAACCACGGTTTACCTCTACGACCCAGGTCAGAGGGACCTCACGTGCGGGTGGGTCGATCCGTCCCTTTGGTCCCTGCCCTCTCACAGCCCGCCAAGGGTCCGTCACCCCAGAGGCCCGGTC